TGGCTGCCGAAAGTACACGATCCCCCATCGTCGGTTAAGTGGCACGCTCCCCTGGCAGCGAGAAGTATTTTAAAGCGGCTGCAATTAGGGGCAACGATGCCAGGTATTAATGCGGAGTACCCCTCAAAAGGGTTAAAGGCCTTGGGAGACATGCACAGAAAACGCGGTTTGGCTGGGTTGTGTTGTGTTTCATTCGCATTTCGCATTTCGTATTTCGCATTTTGCTTTCGAGTGAACTGAATCCGACTGCCTGGATGTTTGGATGCTGTAGTGATGCAATGTTGCAGGACCACTGCTGTTCCTGCCAGCCCCTTGGGCTCGAACGAATCAAGTTCATGGCTGTGTGGTTCAGTGCTGTCGACTGTGGCTTACGTAAAGCAGGAAATTTCTTATATCAATTCCAAGAACTTGGAAACTAAAGCTTATATCAATACTAGCTTTTAAACGAAATAGCCTTGCTAGGAAACTAACGGCTATATCAAAAACCATGTAATGATAACATACCATTTAAAATATATTTTTGATTTTATAAACATACTTATAAAACTAAGTTGAGTCAAAGCAACTTAAAAGGGCTGTTTTGTGTTATTAAATTATTATAAGAAGTGTGGGTGTTAGTTTTTTTAATATTACTTATTACGAGTCTTTAAACTTTAAAAGAGACAATTATTTTTTTTAAAGAGAAATACTTTTTGGGGCTGATTTGTTGGATATATTACCATTACAAAAAATAATGCAAATATGCTAAGACTAAGTGCGTTTTCTAAAAAAATAATTGTAAGCTTCTGCAAATCGTATTAATAATATTTCCATTAACAATGAGAATATATTAAATTATGAAAAACAACCTAGACTAACACACCCAATTTTGAATAATTTTCCTGCTATAAAAAAAATATCCCGATTTTTCCAGAATATATCCGTATGGTCAACACAGCTGAAAATATGTCTGGAGTGGACCGATTTGAAGTCATGTCAGTGGCAGGAGCAGCTGCCAGTGCCAGCTAATTGTAGTCAAATCCATTATGCAAATGGGCGCGGGAGGGGGGTGGCGGAGCAGGCCAGCTCCCTTTTGGCCAACATTTAAGTGGGGAGTGGAAAAGTGGAGGAGTGGAAAATGAAGATTGCATATGCCACTTCCCAAAAAGGGAGAGCGCTCTGTTGCCATGGCATTGTGTTGCCCGTTGGGTAACTAGCTGGAATTTCCTTTCACCACCCAACACCGATGTGCAGCAAAGCTGGATGCCACTTCAAGGACTCGGCCCTTTAAGGAGCAGTTTGCTCTCTGTGCAAAGTTTTTCAATCAATTTTTCATATGGAAAGTTTGAAGCCCCGCCAGAAGTTGTCAGGCCCACGGTGCGTATACTCAACAGGTTAACATTTGAAAACAACGTTATTAAATTAATATATAATTTGTCTATAAAGGGAATTCAGGCAAAATTGAAGGACAATTAAAGACATCGAACCAGCAGCTGCGACATTCATTGAAGTCATTTTTCACAAAAGCCATGTGTGTACTTAAAAAAAAGGAAGTGATAAGTGCCGTGAAGCGATAAAATAATTAAAGACTTATTATTTCAAAAAATATATTTTTTATTTATTTTATAGATTATTTTATAGATCAAGAAAATTAAACAAATGAAATATGAACTTATGTAATTAAGCAAATATTACACAAGAAAGTTTCCTAAACTGTCTGCATTAGTTTAAATATATATTTTTTTATATGTGTAATAAAGTTTTACTCGAGAGACATCAATATCTCATTTCATTAATGTCTATTTTCATTAATGTCTATTTATTTGTATTGTAAATTTGAGTGAACTAGTATTGTTAAAATACATATGTTAAATCTATATACAATTAATAATTAAAGAACCATGACATCGCTAATTTTCTTTTTGTGTATATTGCATGGTTATATGCCTGCAATCGTATGCCATTCTTTTCCCAGTCGCGGCACGTTCTAATAATGGCCAAAGTTTGGGAATCTTTTTTTTACTTTTGCCTAACTGCCTTCGATAAAATGTGTTTATGAGTGCCGCAAGCTGTTCCCGCACTGCTGCATTTTATGGCCTGGCCGAAAGAGAGATTCTTGTTATTCAAAGGCCAAGTTGTGAATTCATATTTAATTGAGCACGGCCGAATTAACAATGGCGGTAGTAAAGGCGATTCCAATTCGGGCTGTTAAAATGGGGCATTAATTACAAAATTGTAAACTTATTGGCGGGCAAAAAGGAAAAGCTAAGGGGTAGGCTTATAATTGGCTAAAGGTAAGTCCAGGTAGGCGTCAATTGAGTTAATTAGCAGATTAAAAGAGGGAAACAACCTTTAAATGGGTTAATAATTCAATAAGCAAAAGGGCGGAAATCAGGTAGGGTTGGCATACTTACAGATAATGAGGGGGCGTTAAAAGATGATTACCCTTGGCACACCCATTCAACTTTCTCTCATTAAATTTAAAAGAAAAAGTTCCCCGGAATTTTCCGCTGAACTGTGGTCGCCAACTTGAAGCCAACAGAAATGTTACAAGTCCCGAGTCTTGACCACAACTAACTTGTCTTTTAGACAGCCATTTCCATGGTTTATCAGCGCCAGTGCAATCTGGAGTAATCTTTTATTTTCCACAACTACTCGGAACTAGGGAAAAAGTTGGCAGCTAACATTTCTCATCTTTTGCTGAACTCCTTCCACCAAATTTTGCCCTGCTCGTTTGGGCCATAAAGTTTTGTGGCCCATTTCTCATGCTTATTGTTTTGCATTCCTTTCCTTATATATATTTGTGTGAACTTTTCCCTGCGGTTTGCCGTATTTTCTGGCTAATGCAAATTAAACTTTGCTAAAATATGTTTGAAAGGGAGTTTTTTTCAGCCATTTTATTGGCCTATATTAAAAATAATTGAAAAACTTGTTTAAATTGTTTAAAAATGATGTTCCGCTTTTAATGAAACAACTGTGCTGGATGTAATTAAATTTTATTATGTGTTTAGCCTTTGCTTAAATTTAAATACCAATCAGTGAGCTTTTCAATACGATCTTAACCATTTTTTTAGCTATATAAAAACTTAATTACGCTTTAATAAACCTTTTTCGTAACTATCAATTTGTAAATTGAGTAGCTTAAATCACACTTATCCGTCAATTTAAATAGTTATAACAAACAACAATTAATCTATTATCTATGCCTACTTTCGGTAGCAAAGTGGCAACTTTATAATTTAATTAAATGTATAGGCTTTTATATAATTTAATAGCTAATTTAATCGTTGTAAAAGCAACAAATAATTACATTTATTTTGTGTATTCACATGTACTTATTTATAATTTCGTGTGCTTGATTTATGTGTTCATTATTAACGAGATTGAAAATATTTGTTGGGGCTCAATTGCAAATACTTCAATCATCATAATTTATGCGTTCGCTGGCCATTTGTCATTTGTCGAGGGGCTTATGCGATTTCAATTACAATTTTCCCAAGAGAGGAAAAAATTTGCAAGTATTTATGCATTGTTTCATTGGATTATTCGGTCAGCTGCAGTGACTGCCTTTAAATTATTTCCGTTAAATTCAATAAACCCATGGAACGTGAGTGAGTTTCCAAATGAGTTCAAAGAAAATTATACTTTCATTCACAGCCCAAAATCCGATTTTGTAGAAATAATTTACAAAATATTTAATATAACAATCATACTTCACTGCAACTGCCATTTGTTTGTCCAATGGTTGCATCAAAATGGGTCAACTAAGGCTATAAAAATATTTCTAAGACATTCTTTGCATACAATTAAATCTAATTGCCATCAATAAACATACGGACATCAATGTGTATATATATTATGTACAACATGTTGCAAATATTCTGTTTAAATCGTTGCCAAAAATTCGTAGTTTTGAGTGGCCAAGTGTATTGCATACTTTGTACGGATGAAATCAACATGAAAATATATGGGATCAAAATGGAAAAGATGCAAGTGCTTACGATATTTGATTTGATTTATGCGGAAGAGCTGTACAGTCGTGGTCAAAATAATAAAAGTGGGACTGTGCTTAATGAAAAAATTTTAATATTTTATATTTTCTAATGAAGCAGATTTATCAACCACCAAGAAAAATGTTAAATTTAATATGCTTTGACTTAAAAACAAACTATAGGCAGTATTTCATATTTATACCCTTGCAGAGGGTATTATAATTTTGGTCAAAAGTGTGCAACGCAGTGAAGGAGACATCTCCGACCCTATAAAGTATATATATTCTTGATCAGGATCACCTCCTGAGTTGATATAGCCATGTCCGTCTGTCCGTCTGTCCGTCTGTCCGTCTGTCCGTCTGTCTGTCCGTCTGTCTGTCCGTCTGTCTGTCCGTCTGTCTGTTTCTACGCGAACTAGTCTCTCAGTTTTAAAGATATCGAATTGAAACTTTACACACACCCTTCTTTCCTTTGCACGCAGTATATAAGTCGGAACGGCCGGGATCGGCCGACTATATCCTATAGCTGCCATATAACTGAACGATCGGAAATGCCATAACTTTGGTGTTTGTAAAGTTAGGAAGTTGGGATTTTCTATGGGTTTTGTATTTGGCTAATCAATCCGACATGCCGAGTTTCATAAGGATCGGCCGACTATATCCTATAGCTTCCATATAACCGATTGATCGGAAATGCCATAACTTTGGTGTTTGTAAAGTTAGAATGTTGGTATGGGTTTTATATTTGGCTAATCAATCCGAAATGCCGAATTTCATAAGGATCGGCCGACTATATCCTATAGCTGCCATATAACTGAACGATTGGAAATGTCATAACTTAGGTGTTTTTAAAGTTAGGAAGTTGGGATTTTTTATGAGTATTAAGAATGCATCATATGAATAATTTTGGAGAATATAATTTACAGAGTATTCTGCAAGGGTATATCAACTTCGGCTCTGCCCAAAGTTAGCTTTCCTTTCTTGTTTTATTATTATTATTTCAGTACTAAATACTATAGTTTATTTTGTTTAAGTTTTCAAACTGACGAAGTTTAGTTTTATTATTAAAGAATTTTTAATGTTGAAACAAAGCCAAGGGTACTATTATTTTAATCACAACTGTACGTTATATGTGCGAATTTATTCACAGCATTTTTACAACTTCCACTTGACTGCGAAGAGGGAATAGAGGAAAACGCAACGGTGCGTATGAGTGATGAGCCAGCGTTTTATTACTATTATTATACTATTCGGGTTTTACGATTCTTCCCCAAAGTATGCAAATAACTCGTTTTTAGTTGGGCTCTTACACGACTAGTTTACTTTTTACAAGGACAACTAAACGTATGTATCTATTATCAGGGTAACTACGTCACAATTCGAGCCTGTTCAGCGGTATATAGCTGGTGATCCGTGGCCCCGCTCACCTTGTCCACGACCACAACGATGGCCTGGAATTGCAAGGCCAAGGGATCCGCCTCCGGCTCCACCGCCCCACTTCCTCCCACAGGACCTCCCCTTCCCCTTCCCCCTCCCCCGGAGGACTCCCTCCGCCTGCGCTTCAGGACACTCAACAGCCGGCTGAGCATAGTGCGGCGACCACGACTCCGCCTGTGCTACAGATTCGTCACCTGTGTGATGTTGGTGGTCGTCGTGGCCGTCACCACCTGGGGCTGCTGTCGTCCTTTTTCAAGGACAGGTGCCACCGCCGAACGCTCAGCTCGAGCAGCTGCCATCTCGTCCTGCGCCACCGGCAGCCATTTATCCAGAAATTTCGGACGAAATAGCAACGTGAACGTTGTCCGGAATTGTTTGCTCATCGAGCAGTACAGAATGAAGTTGATGCTGGAGTTGATCAGGGCCAAGATGTCCATGAGGTCACCTGGGAGAAAGGAACAGTAAAAAATGAAGGTTTAGACTTTTTAAAATCAGAAAAACCGGGAAAAACATTCATACAAATTATTTTAATTTTATTTATTATTTATAAATGATAGAATAGTTTCTAAAACTAAAGCCAACATAAAAGGCACAGTGCTAGCTATAAGACCTTCGACTATGTTTGTTTAAAGATGGTTAGAATTACTTATTAAATATATGTTTTCGGGTTTAAAAATAGGTTGTATATTATTATTATTTTTATAAATATTGCGTCGCGAGAATTCAGTTAAGCTATAACATTAAATATAACTCTTTAAACAAACTAATAATTGTGTCTAAAATTATGCAAAAAAGAATTGTTACGAAAGACAACTTTTTTTTCATTGCATAGTTTTATACATAGTTTTTAATTGTTTCACAACCACCAATAAAAATATTTCAAATGCAAATGCTTGAAATGATCTAATTTTTAAAGAGTATTGTACTAGTATAAACATTACTTACTCAGTCTTAGGTAGCACTGCAGATAGAATACATCTCCGAGTAGGGCATTTAGAAGACCCAAAACTCCCTGTGGGAATTCGGTGATGAGAAAGAGCAGCAGGACAGCCAGCAGCATTCGAGTAGTACGATCCGTTTGCTTTTCCTTCTCCAAAGTTTTGCTATTTTTCCGGGGTCTGTCAGCTGCCTTTCCATTGATCACCGATTTGGTCCCATTACTGGCAGCCGGAGCAAGGGGTTTGCTGGTGAGTTTCTTCCTTCGCCTCTTGGCCTCCAACAAGGCCATGATCAATCGAACCGAGAGTATGGTTAGCGCAATACAGGGTATCAACTTGATCACCACACTGTATATAAGAAAGGTGGCATTTTGCAGCGAGGCATTGTGCAATGCCAAGTCACTGTGATACAACCTATAGACCGTCACATTTCGCACCACTGGCGATGGAGTGGTTGGTGGTGCAGCTGTGGTTGTCGATGTCATCAGGGAACTCACATTCAACCACACCGTTTCATTCGATGCTGTACTTGGGGGCGTGGCATTCAGAGCAGCCGCCTTGGCACTCATTAACTCATTGCGGTAATCAATTACGTACTGGGTCATCGGTATGGAGTTTATCACCTTGCCATTCACATCCAACTGATCCACATATTCCGTGATGGCCGTGATCAAATAGAGAGAGGGGGAAACCACCAGGACACACACCACATAGGCTGTGGTTATCGTTATTATAGTGGTTCTCATTCCGCACCAGACGCGATTTTTCTGCGGATATCCCACCGCAATATAACGCCAAACGGCCAGAGTCACTGTCAGCCAAATCGAAATGGTGTGCAGAACTTGGGCAAAAATCGAGTGGAACTTGATGAAACAGGCCCAACTGTAGCTCAGTTTCTCCTCTCGCGGCAAACTATCCGTCAGTATATAGTCGTGTATGGTGTAGGGTATATATTCCAGCATAACTGCCAGATCGGCCACGGCCAAACCCGTGAGAATGGCATTTGTGGGGGAGCGCATCTCCCGTCGCGTTAGCACAATAATGTTTAGGGTATTGGCAATGGTGCCCAGAATGCAAACCACCAGGGAAACATAGCCATGCATATTTTTGTAGCTGGAAAAAATAAAGTGGGAAATTAATAAAAATTTTAATCAATTACAAATTTAAGCCTTTAATTAATCAGATTTAAAAAATGTATTTAAAGCAACAAGTTAAGAGTGGTAAAAAAAAGGTATACATTAGTTGTTTTTCCTATAGCTTCCAAACATTAATTTAATTTAGGAAAGTTGTTGATTTACTTTGCTGAATTGCAAACTTAAGCCTTTAATTAATCAGATTTAAATTGTGTATTTAAAGCACCAAGTTAAGAGTGGGAAAAAATTTTGTTTTCCAATAGGTTTCAACCATAAATTATTAAAATTGATTGAAGAAATATGTTTTCTTACATTTTTGAGCCTTATAAAATTGGTGGAATTCTAGAATTCTAGAGGAAAATATTACAAATATTTAATACTACATTTTTTTATCTCTTAATTCTAAGTTCATCTAGGCACACCAAATTGTTTCTCAGATGTAATAAAGACGCAAATCTGAATAAAAATCGAGTGAGTAAGTAGTAGGCATTTGTTAAATTATGTTTTGGTTATTATGCTCTAGTTAGCCTCAACCAATTTGTTACATCCACGCTTAGTCTTCGCTCTCCAAGCCAAGCAGGCAATAAAACCATCCAAAAGCCATTTTCGTTGACTTGGCTAACAGAGGCATTGGGCCAATAAACTCACTAGGGCCTAGGGCTTTAGACAGCCACGCCCACGCCGCCCCGTTTTGGGATAAACATTTTACCAGCTTTCCCTTAGTTTTCCGTTGAGCGCTCTGAGCCAAACAAAAAGTGGTGGTAAAGGGAAAAACAGGGGAAGGATTCAAATTTCTAGCTAAAGTTTTTGGGGAATTTGACACAGGAAAAACCGTGGGAGTTCTCAACGCTTTTGCTTGCTCTTTGCCTTTTGGCATTTTTACACTGCTTATACTTTCGTTTGCTTTTATGCAAGTTTCAGCCAACAAATTAGACTTAGCATAAAATTTATATGGGGAAAGGCGAGGTGAGAGCCACAAAACAGGACACTTCAAGGCCTGCAGGATGCAGGATGCAGCTCTGCGGCTGACTGGCAGCAAAAAATGTTTAATAAACTCCGAGTTGTATATGGAGTGACACGTGTGTGTCCTGTGGCTCCTGCTGTCGGTGTCAGGACTTTAGTTAAATTGTTTATCGCTCTCGTTTGGAATTCCCCATTCACTCGAAACAAAAGGGAGATTCCCAACCGAATGACAGTTTTATTGAAGAATCTAAGCCAAATTTGTGGCCCACTCTTTAGTTGTGTTGCCTTAAACTGCAGTTGGTCTTATGCAATCCTGCCCAGAATTTGCATTCCAATCTCCATGGATGAGAGATTATTTTCCGGAAAATGATGGCCAGCTCGTATTAATTTGTTTGCCAACAAAATATCCCAGACCAACTGAAAAAACTTTTCACCAAGCAAAGAGCTGCAGGGGCAAAATGCGTCTATTATTTTTGGGACTAGAGAAGAAAAACTATGTCCTACTTGGAGTGAACCCTTCGGTTCCGTAGCTATGCTCTTCGATTGAATTTCATTCACAAGCTTATGCTTTGCTAGCCTACAGACAAAAAAAAGGGGTTTACTTTGGGATTTATTATTTATTTTAATAAGATTTAGCGGCTTTAAGAGATTTATATGAGATGTGTGTTGTATGTATTTGTAGGTCTGTATAGAAATTGGGTATCCCATTTTGTCAAGCATTTTAAAGTATCATTTTCTAAGACAGTTATGACCTTAACTAGACCTTATGAATTATTTCATTTTACCATAATTTTTGAATATCATTAGAGAACCATGTATTAAAAGAAGATAAGCTGCCTGATTGCCTAACACGTTTTTCATTATGACGAGCATTTTTCCGGTGTACATGAGTTTGTTTTGCCCAGCATGCTTGGTTTTTGGGGTTCATTTCGACAGCTGACTGCCTGATTTCTGGGCCAATAACTTTGAGCCAGCAACGCCCCCAACACCACCGTGCTGTCCTAGGCCAAAACAATTCCAGGACTTCATTCATGTCGTCGACGTCGTTGTCATTGCCGCCATTCATCAACATGGATTATCAAAGGCCATAAATTAGACTCAGCGAAGAAGAAGGTTTTGGAGTCTGGATTGCGACCAAGGTAAACTCCTGCGACACCGAACCCAAGAATTCGTTGCAGCCAAAGTTTTTGTGAGTTTGATGAATGAAGTTGTAAATTCCCCAGGACTTCGCCGAGACGAGGGTTGTGTCTCAGAAAAGTGTCGCCAGCATTTGGAAAGTGTTTCCATTTCGCTGTTTTTTTTTTCGGGGCACGTAGACACACCTCACTTCCTTTTTTTTTTCATTTTCATTTCCATTCTGTATCCTGTCCATCAGCATGAGAGGCCTTTAACATGAAACGTCAGACGATGTGTGCTTATTTGTTTTATTTGTTTGGGGAATACACGGCCGCAAAAAGCGACAACGCATTTGGAAAATTAAATATTTTCCAGAAGCAATTTTACACATTTTTAGGGTCTTCGGTTTTTAGGGTTCTCCTGCAACCAAGCGCCTTTGTGCGTTCTTTATTATTTATGTTAATTGCTTGTTTTGTGCGTGTTTTGTTGCGGTTTTTCCACCGCTTTTCGGGGCCCTTTTTCGTATTTTTCGCCTTGCCATTTGCCATATATTGCGTATACGTCACGTTGACGCCAGGGGAAGGGTTATTCGATGTTGGCAGTGTGTGACACATTGGCGTTTGAATTGTATGCTTTTTCTTCTGGTGCTCTGCTGGTCTGGCGCTCAGCCGTTTTGGTGTTCCTTTGCCGCTTGAGTGGCGCCTGGAGACGACTGAGTGGGTGGTTTCTTGGGGGCGGCTTCTTGGGCGGCTTCTGTCTGTCTGGGGCGTGACAGCGTCAAGTGTCGCCTTCGCCGGCAATTTGGCACGTCTTTGACACAAAAGTAAATGGCCAAGTGTTTGGCTACACATCTAATTGCCATACAGTCATCTTTCAAACTCCCGCTTCCACCTTTAATTAAAGCGGGATTCTGCTCTGGCCAGCCACTCTCTGGCCATTAACTCCGGCCAGTCTGGCTCTAATTAAAACTAAAAGCCCTGGCCAACAGCCCTGGCAAAGTCGGTCTAGATGGTGACCCCTCGGGGCAGTTTTGCAACCGTAGAATGAATAATTCGCAGTTCACACAGAGCACAACTTAATCATGGCAAATAAATGAGCGTCAATGATTTATGTTCCGATTGGTTTATATTCTTCATTTATGAAAGCGAGAGGAGAAAAACTGGCATAATAAACCAGGAAATGTTTTTATGGCTCAACAGATAGATAAATTTAAGCATAATATGAACATAAATATTCATGGAAAATAATTTAATGAAATTATTTATTTCAAAATATATAACTATTGAAAGCTAAGACTGTTTTATTAAACTGATTCACCTTAATTTGATATAATGAATGTATTTTATGATATATTGCAAGGAACTTTGTGGAGATATCAGGGATAAAAAGCAATTTATCTGTTTATGTTTGTTTATGTTTATTAATGAACAATTTATGAAAATCAATATAAGCTTAAAAAGGCATTACTTTCTTTTCAGTAATTTTTAACCAAAATAACGTTATATTATTTCGTAAACTGTATCAAAAATAATGCTTACACTTAAGTTTTCCTTTTCAAAAATCAGCAACGTCACCTTAATCGAAACCCAATCCGGGCAAACACACAATATTGATAGGTTTATTGGCCAATTGGTTTAACTATTTATTATCACTTGCATTTATGAAATTTCCACGATGGTGACTCTGCGTAAAGGACAAGAATTTAATTTCCTATGTCGCCATAAAGTTTTAATCATCATCTTCAGGTTTTACGACCTTTTGGCATTCCCTTTTTTTATGGGTGCAGCAGATGGGCTCTTCGATGGCCCATAGGAAATGGTCAATTAAATTGATTTCAGCCATCAATTGTTGACCTTGCTGTTGACAAATCTGTTTTTATGTCTGCTTCTTCATTTAATCGTTCGAGAAAATTGTATGGCAAATCAAAATTGAAGCTACCCCCGAAATGGGGGCGATAATCGATTTCTGAACGATTCCCTCGCTTCGGCTAAATGTTGTTGTTTTTGGCCCCCCGACCCCGACCCCCAGATTTCAAACTGTTGACGCCATGTCTGGGGGGGTGGGGGGTAAAACCCCCTTTGGCCTTGCCCGTGACATTGGGAAAAGTCGCTTACCTTGTGTGGAAATTATCCATGCCGCTGCCGCAGTAGAGCGGCGCAGTTTCATTGTTGCCACTGGCCATTGTTGCTGCAAGTCCTTTGTGATTGCTGGCTGTCACTCACTGTTGCAACTGGCTTTGCTTTTGCTTTTGCGTATGCCTTTGCTGCCAAGGACAGCCGAGCAGAGTCCTCCCACCAGATGCATTAATAATTAATTATCGAGGAGGAGAGCGCTCCTGCAAATAGATAGAGGGAAACAGGAAAGTTAGAGCGGTGGGCGGATAGGGCTATTGTCCAACATGACGTATAATTAATGCGAGTTGTAAATTGTTGCGCACACGGCCGTTACCCCATCAACTAATGTGATTAAATATTGCATGATGCACTGGCTGTTGCTGCTGTTGTTGTGGTCGCTTGGTGGCTGCCTTAAGCCGATTAGAGAATAGCCGGCAAAATATATAGTCATTGTGTCGGCAAATCGGTGGATTTTCCCTCCATCCTCTTCGTGCAGCGCCTGCTGAAGAAGCTGCCTTGCAACTTAATTAGCAGCGGGAAAAGTACACTTCCCGCAGAGATAAAGATGTTGAGACTAAGACTATGGTATTTATAATGCAAATAAATAATCAGAAATTGGAAATAAGGCTGTTCTAAAGGAAGGTACATTTTTAAACTTAATTCTCAATGGGTAGTTCTTTAATAAATTAATATTAGTTAGGGACAATAATTATTCAATCAATAATATTAAAAGTATGTTGTAATAAATATATATTTTATATATATATTCACCAGGCGAGCTTACCAAGTACCAACATTTATTCAAAAAAATTTTAATAAATCTAGTTATAATTTATATATTTATATATAATTTGTCAAGCCCAGAATCAAAACATTATTAATAAAACAAAAAAACATTTACTAACCATTATACATTCAAATGGCATAAGAAAACTTTTTAATGTTTTTATCTTCTTTTGAATATTCAAATTTTTCGCATTTCTGACAGACTGCTACAAAAACAAGGAACTTCTGACCTACAGTATCGCATAATATGATTTATTTTAGCCTACGGCTTGCCTCATCAAGGACGTCGAGATCTGGACAGACCGCATCTGAGTGGGAACATAAAATATCTGAGGCTTCGTGCGGTCTAAATTAGATTTGTATGGCTGAAGCGTGGCCGGAGATAAATGCCATTTGTTCTTTTTTCGAGGGAATCCTTTTTAGTTTGCTTTGTCCATACCCATTTCTTTCGGACGTGGGCAATATGTTATCTGTCGCCCCGCTTTCCCCCAAACTGAATGTACTTCACCATATCTCTGCGTGCCTGCTGCAACAATTTCTTTGCGCAAAGATTTTAATTGCATTTGTTAGGCAGCTGCAGTTGGCAGAGGAAAAGCGTTGTGAAAACGCTGGAAAAGCGTCCGAGGGTTCAGGGGGGTAAATGTGGCTGCAATTAACACGTTCCACGAGGCACAGAAACCGCAAAGCCAGCACACTGCTTAAATATGCATAGATGCAAACACAGACATGGGGGAAAATTTTGCGAGGAGCAGGCAGCTAATGTGTGGGAAGCTCAGTAATTTGATTTGCAAATTGCCATTTTCCTTCTATTATTTTTTGGAGCTACTTGAAAGTAAGCCAGAGGTTAATTTATCCTGGCAAATTAGGTACTCGACTGGCAAAAAAATCAATTTACACAACCGCACTTCTAGGAAACTCAATACTTTAGCCACATGAAATAGCGCTACAATTAATTGATTGATGATTTCCACCATTTGACTGATGTAATTGTTATTCCCATTATTATGACACAATACAAATGGCCAAGAAATATTAATTAAAATCGTGCCGGGCCATAATTCGATTACATAAATTAATTGCCGCTTGATGAACGCCGTTGTGCAAGGAAAGTATGCCACGCAATCCAGATGCTTTTTTCGATACAAACTGCTGCCGCCCGTCGGAAATAATTTTGTATTAATTGCGAATATATAGTGGTATATATGGCCGGATGATTGCTCCGTTCATCACGCGTGTGTGGGTGTGGTTGTGCGTGTGTGTGTGTGTTTGTGTTTGTTTGTGGGTCCTGGAGAGGTGACAAATGAAATGATTAATGAATGACAGCTGCCGGTTGCCCGCAGATGTATGCTATAATTTTTGCAAACAATAGTGAAGAATAATATGCCAATGCCATTTGCGGTTGCTACAGGCTCAGACTGACAGCTTAACAGATTACAAGGGTAAAAAGAAAAGGAGGATGGACAAAGGACCTTAAGGACCTCTTCACCTTTTCAAAAATAACACGTCCCTAAAGTTTCAATAAATATTTTTAAAAAAATTGGCATTTATGCATTTTTCAATGGGTTTTCGTGTAGTTTTCTTGTGAAAATTTATAAAACGTCTTGAGATTTTCAAGCATTACTCAAAATGATAATTTCACCAAAATTTTGCTGTCTTAAATGCCTGATTATTCCAATTTCAATGAACCTTTTTTACGCTTCACTGCAGAAATTCCATCTCTTTTAAATTCGAAATAATTAAAGTAGAACAACAAATATAATAATATATTTTGAATTCATAAATATTTTGACCCCTAGACATAAATTTACGTCAATATTTGATTGAGTGCGAGAGCATAGTTTCAATCAGAACTTAATTATGTTCATGAAAAGCAATCTAATGGCAGGCCTGAATAACATTTTCATTTTGAGCACGGTCCACTGGACAGGGCAACAACAATGAGGGCGTAAATAAGGCCATCATGTGGGTAAAAGGTGAAAGAGCGGTGAAATTGAAATCAAAACTGATTTCCGCATGGCAAGAGGAGGGCTGTCCATGGGTTCGTGGACGAGTGGGGATGATTGATAAACCTCCCGACCGATAAACCGGTTATGTCACGGGCATATTGCAGAGCTTCGTGCCGCCATAGAAATCGCAGCAGATAGAGGGAATAGTTGAGAAGACACCGTGTTCTTGGTGAAAGTGGCAGGGGATGCGGAAAATGGCTAACAATCGCAGTGAAATGAAATTCAAGCTGCTCAAAATCTACCACTTGATTTGAAGCCAGCATCGAGCTTGGCTATTTACCGCTCTTAAAAATAATATTTACTTCATATTGATTATTGAGTGCTTGTTTCGCCATCCTGTTTACTTTTCTTTCGCCTGCTATTTGTTTTACGCTCGTTTATTTGCATTTTTCTTCTTCACGTAAGCAAACTTGTTATTCGCTTCTTGTTTGCTTTGCTTTTCTGCAGTGGCATTATTTTAAATTGTTTTCTAAATGGTTGGCCAAAAAAAGGAAAACAGGAACTGGAAAATATCGAGAGGGAGAAATAACCAGAAGTCAAATCCCGTTCCCCTCTCGCCATGTGAAGATGGACAGCTGGAGTTGTTCCTTGAGTTGATCAAATTTAAGATAAGTGCTTTCGCCAGCCAAGTGGAAGGAATGCTTACCCTCCAACAATTTGGCAAAGTAAACCTTAAAGCCGCTGACCAGGAATTTAATGAGGGAAAACTCTTGCGAAATGCAAGAGGAAAACAAAAAGATTAGAATTATAGTATGCCATTAGCGCTCTCATCTTTGAGCGTGTGTGCAGCTGTGTGGCATCAACAGGATCTCAAGTGCGTCGGGCAAAGGATAATAGCCAAGGTCACACGGTGAAAAAATATGCAAATTCCTGATGATGTTGCAAAGTGCATCAAACAAGTATGCGAACACAACGGAAATGTTTTCTTATACATTTTAAATAAATATACAATAAGAATAAGGAATAAAGCTGTGAGAGGGAATAAAGAAATCTTAAGAAATCATATACGTTTTAAAATTAATCAAAGAGAATCTTAAGGAAAATATACAGAACCATTAGAGGTACTTTGAAAATTAATTTGTAAAAATAAATACTATCTTTATCATGGGAGGCTCTAATTAATTTGCCATAACAGCCAAATTGTTGCAATTTTTTCCACTGCAGACCAAAGCATTATGAGAGTTCCGCTCACCCCGCTGGAGACCCTTTCAATTTGCACTTTCGCCGGATGTTTTGGGGCGGACGGGACGGGGATTCCCCGGCGAACTCTGTAAGCCAACCGCTGGAGGGCTGGCAGCCGTTTGTCACGACGATGACTTGATGGCGATGCCACTTGGGCTCACATGGACACAAGTTGCCAGTCATGACAGCCTGAAAAACTGGTTGTCTAGCCTAAGGAGTGGTGGTTTTCCGTGGGCCGTGGCAGTACAAACATAAATACAGTTACAATCTGTAAATATTTGTGTCAGGATGTCAGTCAGTCTGACTTCCCTACAAATATCCTGTCAAAGTTTTCTTTCGGTACTCTTTCCCTCACTTTTGCTTTTCTTTTACCTCTTGTTCTTGAGAAAGTTTCGTTGAAAAAAGAATCAGTTTTGGCGATGTAATTAGACGACATGCGAATAATTTCGGCACGTTACTCATACGCACAGGTGGCCGCAAGAACCGCGACCTTGTAATACACACGCTGCGCAGACATAATTCAAATGTCATCCAGTTGTCATTGTTCGTTTGGCAAACTGTTCGCCTCCGCAGGAAGAAAATTCCATGGAAATGGCAGAAAAAAATTCGACTGTGTTTTCGCTTTATTTCAGCTCTGTCGCCTGTTGACTGGAATTCGTGTATCGAGCATACGTCATGTAGTCATGTCTGAGTGAGTAATTCCCCAGAAACAACACCAAGGCGATTGGGAAAAATAGAATATGCTGGGGAATGAGTAAGCTTCGGGCTAATTTCGGTCCCAAAGAGTTTTAAGTATGCAGAACACAAAAATTCGCAGACGAAATTGAATTCTGTCTACGAGAGTCAATTGTTTTCGAAATGAGTTTTAAATTGCGGCTCTGGCTTATATATAGACCATGGTCCTATTAGGCATATTAAATTTGATAAGCCGACTGGAGTGGCTAAGCTGCTTACCTATGATTTTACCGAGCTAAATTTTAAGCCCAATACGTATAATTAAATCCATTGTTCGGGCCACCCAGATATTCCGGTCAACAACTAACCGCAAAACAAAAGTAAGCTTATCAATGCAATTACACATGAGTTCATATCTCAAACTCCTCCTCTAATGTTTGACAGACATTCGGTTGGCTTTCAGTCCGTTGGCCCTATAAGCAGCCAGATGAAACGAACCTCGAAGAGATAACACAGAATGTGATGCATATTTTGGGGCCAAATTGAAACGTGTTGGCTGGGCAGACCAGCAA